GCCATTTAGCCCGATTGCCATTAAAAATTCCCACTTCGCCATTTGCCATTGTCGCCATTTCCGTTTCGCCATTTCCCACTTCGCCCATTTTTCCATTTCGCCAGTTTCCAAACTCAGGCCAGTTTTCCCATTTTCGCCATTTCCCGTTTCCGCCAGGTTCCCATTCGCCATTTCGTCTTATACTCCCCGACACCCCTTGTTCGAGGTGGGTTAAAAGTATAGGCCTCCTTTTCAGTAATGAATAAATTATAACGAATCTTTAGATATTGGAGTCAACTATTATATTGAAGAACAGAAGGCGAAATGTACATATCAAAACATATGGAATCGTGTACAGGCACCTAACCCTAACCCTAAGCCCTAACCCCTAGAAATGACTTTTTTTTTTTTAAACGAATGGAAGGATCAATTTCAGTGCAGGGGTGAAGCAACATAAAAATATTGTGCGAAATGGAAACTGCTAAAGTGGGAAAATGGGCGAAATGGGAAATGGCGGAATGGAAAATGGCGAATGGCGAAAATGGCGAAATGGGAAACTGTGCGAAATGGAAATTGCGAAATGGGAAATGGCGAAGTGCGGAAAATGCGAAATGAATGACACCGCGTTACGGCGCGATCACTCGGTCAGATAACCTCTGACCTTACAGAGACATTACATTACATTACATTACCATTACATTACACTACCATTACATTACCTTACGTTACGTTACGTTACAATACATTACATTGCATTGCATTACATTGCATTGCATTGCATTGCATTACATTACATTACATTACATTGCATTAATTACATTACATTACATTACATTACACTTAACATTACATTACATTACATTGAAAAAATTACATTACATTCACATACATACATTGCATTACATTACATTAAATGTACATCACATTAAGTTAACATACATTACATACATCACAATTGCCATTACATTACATTACTATTACATCTACATTACTATTACATTACATTACATTACATTACATTACATTACATTACATTACATTACATTACATTACATTACAACACATTACATTACATTACAGAGACGAGAAACCTGTCGCCAATTCACAGGGGGCCTGAGGTTTTACTACTCTCGTGCATCGAAGCGAAGTCGCTACATCAGTCTATCGATAGCGTGAAGATATATGCGAACGAGTCGAATAAACGCGTGTGACTTTAACAACCGCCGATTTGCGAATTCGGTGTTCCTTTGTCGGCAATTATGAGAGGAAGGACGCGGGTCTAAACGGCTGCCAATTTCAAACGGGAAGAATTTCTTCGAATCGCTCACGCTCGAGTGTTTCCTTCCGAAGAGCACTGTTTCCTGGCGCGCAAACTGCGGAAGGGGGCGTACGTGTGTGATGACGTCACATACTGACGTCAGTGATAACGTATTGTGCGACCGGGCGGGTGGGAATACGGACGGGCTTTCGCGGAAACCGGGTGCGATTTACAGTCACGCCTTGCTATGCACTTTCGTTGCCGTCTTTCTACTCTGTTAAGAATGTGCCATTCGGTGGATTTTTACTCCGTCTATTATTGCCAGATTTCACCTAACCAAAAATCTCTCCGAATAGGGACTTGTCTGTTAAATGTAATTCAGAGCAGGTCAAAGTAAATAATCTGTCATATATTACCAATGTCATAGCAATTGATTTTTTTTCCTATGAATGAAAGAGGAGCGACTGTATACTCGCGAGGGAAAGTGATTTTATTTTGATAGTCGGGTACTGAATACAGCGACCAGTCACAACTGCTTATGTGACCCGCCCCTACTTTACCCACCATATTCTTTGTCGATAAACGTCAGTCCATCTTTGACGTTGGAGTTATTGGGGGCAATCGTTATTCCTTTATGTGCTGACTGGCATTATGTATATATTTGCGGCTGTAACGAGGTACTTAGAGTTCAGATCTCAGGTTCATGTTTGGCCTTTCACGAAACATGTCCGGTTACTCATAACTGCCATTATAACCTCGTCTAGCTCTTCGATTTCTTAGTCTTCCTCATAATAACTTCACATATTCCTCACCCCCTTGCTTGAGCTTTTATATATACTAGTCCATGCCCGTTAGGTGGTCAGAACTTCTGTGTAGACCACATTGTTCATGATGGAACGGTTTCAGTTGTGTCATCGCGTAACAGCAATTAAACCGTTTAAGCTGCGAGCACTTCCCACCAGCGGCTCGTGGAGTAGAACTGGTCGTGACTGAAGAAGTGTTTGGCCGTGACACACACACACACACACAACCAAACACACAACACACACACCACGACACACACACACACACACATCACACACAGCACAGCACACACACCACATACAACACATACATACACATACACATACACACATGTTACACCACACACCACACACCACACACATACCCACACACACACCACACACACGCACAACACACAAACGAGCGCACACACATACACACACCACAACGCCGCGCGCGTACACACACAACACAACACAC